TAAAGTTTATACATACTATTTTACTCTTGAGCTATTCAATAGCCTTGTGACACATTGCTTCAATCACATCAGTGGACTTGGATGATCACCTGAAGTGCGAGGTGATGTCTGTTTATCATGTGGTTGCCTGCATGTGATGCTTGGGCCTAACAATGACCTAGCAGCAAAGGCTAATGCCAGCAAGATGGAAAAGACATTTGAGGAAATGGTACTCAAATAGGCATGGGACTATCAGAACTTACTCAAAAAAGAAAGTTTCGATGAATTACCTGACCCAAAGCCCTGGGACCATGCCATTGAATTAATCTCCAATGTGAATGCCAACCTGGACTGCAAGTGTTATCCACTTGGCAGCAATAAACAACAAGAATTGGACAAATTTCTCAATGAGAATTTGACCAGTGGACAAATCTGGCCATCAAAATCACCAATGGCCTCTCCCTTCTTCTTCATCAAGAAGAAGGATGGAAAGCTCCAACCTGTACAGGATTATCAGAAGCTCAACAAAATGATGATCAAGAATTGTTATCTGCTTCCCTTAATCTCAGAGTTAATGAATAAACTCCAAGGTGCTAAGTACTACATCAAACTGGATGTTCAGTGGGGGTACAACAATATGCATATCAAAGAAGGTGACAAATGGAAGGCTGCTTTTTGAACTAGCCATGGTTTGTTCAAACTGATGGTTATGTTCTTTGAACTCAGAAATTTGCTGGCAACCTTTCAGTGGATGATGAATGATATCTTCAAAGATCTCATTGCCACTGGAAAGGTCACTATCTACTTGGACAACATCCTCATTATGTCCAAATCCAAGGAGGAACACCAACAGCTAGTACAGCAAGTACTAGCCTTGATGAGGAAGCACCAACTTTTCCTCAAGGCAGAGAAATGTGAATTCAAGGTATTAGAAACTGAATACCTCAGAGTCATTATCAGTGAAGGAAGCATCAGAATGGACCCTGTCAAAGTGGCAGGAGTAGCTGAGTGGCCAGAGCCAACCAAGAAGAAGGAACTGCAATCATTTTTGAGATTCACCAACTTCTACTGATGGTTTATCTGAGACTACAGCAAAATAGTCTGACCCATGATGCAATTGACTGGGAATTCCCCATAGACCTGGGAAATCTCCTAACAGATGGCATTCGATGACCTCAAATGTCGATTGGCCAAAGATGTCATCTTGGCCATACCAAGCCAGGATGGGAAATTCAGGATGGAAGCCAACTCCAGTGAAGGTGCCATTGGAGCAGTTCTTTCACAGGAACAGGATGGCAAATGGTGATCAGTCACCTTTATGTCAAAGATACTCACAGTCACTGAGCACAACTATAAAATCTACAATAAGGAACTCCTCACTATAATGCTTGCCCTTGCTGAATGGCAGCATTATCTCATTGGAGCAGCCCAGACCTTCAAGATCTGGACAGATCACCAGAATCTCCAATATTTCCAACTTCCACAAAAGCTAAATTGCTGACAAGCCTGATGGGTAACAGAACTATCTGAATACAAGTACACACTACATCACAAGGCTGATGCAGCAAACAAGAAGGCCAATCTCCTCAGTTGCAGAGCTGATCATGATCAGAGAGGAGATGACAACAAGGAAGTTGTACTATTATGACCAGAACACTTCCATGCCATGATCATGCCCACTGAAGAGGAGATGCATAAATGCATCAAGAGCACCACCAGAGATCCCCACAAGTGAGATCAAAGAATAGCCTCTTCACTCAATCATGAGTGGGGGCTGAAGAAAAAAGAGGGATTGATCTGCTACAATGGACAGATCTATATCCCAAGGGATCAGAGACTTCATAGTGATATCATCACCACATGTCATGATCACATGACCACTGAACACCCTGGGATCACTAAAATGAAGGAATTAGTCTTAAGAGAATATTTGTGGCCCAAAATAGACCATGATATCACCTGATATGTCAAGGCTTATGAGGTTTGTTAATGTGGCAAATCCTCAACACAACTCCAAGCAGCTTCACTCCATCTGAATGAGGTACCATCATCCCCATGGACCCACATTTTGGTGGACATGATAACTGGACTTCCTGAAAGTAATAGCTATGATGTGATCATTATCATAGTCAATTGCTTCTCAAAGGTGATGATCCTGATTGCCTGCTTGACAGAATTAACATCAGAAGGATAGACAAAAATCCTACAAGATGAGGTTTATGCAAAATATGGCATGCCTCAAGTAGTGATTTCAGACAGAGGACCACAATTTGTCTCCAAATTTTTAGATGATTTGTATTGACTCCTCAACATCAAATGAAATACCTCAATGGCATATCATCCACAGATAGATGGTCAAACAGAATGGGCCAATCAAGAAATTGAAAAGTACCTATGACTTTTTATTAATTACTGACAAGACAATTGGACCAAGTGGCTAGCACTAGCTGCCTTTCAACACAACAACAGAGTTCACTCAGCAACCAGCAAGACACCTTTCTTTGTCAACTATGAATGAAACCCACCAGTTGTGCAGAGTGAATGGATACACACAACAACACTGGCATCCTCAGATTTTGCAGCCACAATGGCAAAAATTCATGAAGAAACAAAGACAGCCCTTGAAAAGGCTGTCACAACAATAAAGAAGCAGTATGACAAACGCCATTGACCTGTGCATGAATATTCAACCAATGACAAAGTTTGGTTGGATATGACAAATCTCCATCTCCCACACCCGAAACAGAAACTGGCAGACAAACAAACAGGACCATTCAAAGTCATTGCTAAAATGAGCAACTCCACATACAAATTGCAACTCCCAGTGACTTGGAAAGTTCATAATGTCTTTAATGAGACATTACTAACACCATATATCACATCTGCCTTTCCAAATCAAGAATGACCACTGCCTCCACCATCAGAACTCATTGATGATAAGAAACATTATAAAATCGATGAAGTGCTAAACCACAGATTATGAAAGGTTAGAGCATGTGGTGGTGGAATGATGATGACAGTTGACTATCTAGTCAGCTGGAAAGGTTATGGATCAGAATCAAACTAATGGGTCAACAAGAAATATATGGATGCAGAGGAAGTGATACACAACTATAAACAGCAAAATAACAGGGTTGTTATCAGCAAATATGTCAACCTAAATTTCAACTCCAAAGGGCTGGATGGGACATACAACAAAGAGCAATGTCCAGAACAGGTTCCAATGAGGGAGCCAGAAATGAGCAGCAGTCCACAGAGCAAAATAACAATGGAAAGGAGGAGCTTCCATCAATACCTGCAACATCAACAAGATACTCTGATAGATCTCCACTTTGATAAAAGGGAGATCATGTCTAACATTATGGGTCTAGCAGATAGGCCATCTGTGAGTGGCCTGGAGGACTTACCCCTAAATTAACCATCAGGATGATGGTCTTAAGAAGGGGGTAATGTTATGATTTTTCTTATTTTTCTTTCCTTTTTCCTTGATTTATTTGGGATTGACCTCTATTTCTGCTTTGTCAGAGTGCCTAGACCAGGTGCTTAGGATCATGGGAATGCTTAGTCATCAGCACTACCCCAATTCTGATCGCTGCTGTGAAGTCATGCAACAGCACAATGACAGAGAAGCCTCTCTTATCTTTGTGCAGCAGTAACAGCAGTAACAGCACAACAGCAGGACAATACTTTTTGTAGGTATCTTAGTAACAGCTGGACAATATGCTACACAGCACCAGCAAGGATAATTAGGTAGTTATATTCTTGGAACAATAAGGATTTAGTATTTAAGTAGAGTAGCTCTCACTGTAATACTCCAGCTTCAAGCTAAAGTTTATTCTTCACCATCTACTCTTGAGTGACTTGCAAATACCTTGACTACACAACTCTATTGACACATCAGTGAACTCTGTCAGTCTAACCCAAAGTGTGAGGTTCTGAACAGTTTATCACATGTTGATAGTCATGTGGAATTTGGGCTTAACATGGTGCACCAGCTGCAGGTGGTATCAGATGATGCCACATGAGTGGCTTGGACTCTGACAGCACTCACTTTGAATGATGTTGCTAAAGTGGTGTCATGAGAGCAGTGCTGCATCTCTTTGGTGTGGAAGGCAGCAACAAGTTTGTCAAGACTGAGGGAATGAAGAAGAAGGACTGATGACACAAAATTGTCATAATCAGATGGGAGGGCATGGATGAGAGTCATAGATTGAAGCTCTTCATCAAGTTGATTGATGGTGAACTTTTTGGGGTGGAGTGCTTTGATGTCTTGTATAGCTTGTGAGACAAGTCCAACAAGAGTAGAGAGGGACTCTCCATCATCCTTCCAAATGCTGAATAAGGCATCATAGACATTGAAACAGGTGCCCAGTTTTTGCTGTTGGTGAATGTCTTTCAGTTTCAACCACATAGCTGTGGGCTTACACATGAGGAGACTGACATGGGCACACTGTGATTCATCAATGCAAAGCCAAAGGTATCCTGCTGCAGATGAACAAGCTTGAAGGTAAGCTTTCATCTCCTTTTTTTTGAGCTTTGTGAGTTCACTAGGGTTGACTTGCTCTGGTGGCTCCTCAGTGCTGTCAAAGTGGCCGAATAGCCCCTTGATGCACATGTAGGCCTCGAATGAAGGTGAAAAGTGGTTCCAGTTGCCAGTGTGGAGGTTGGGAAAGCCACATTTGGTGGTGTCAATGACATCTGAGTCATTCATTGTGGTGTGAGAAAAAAAGGAGAGACCATTGGGGTTAGAGAGTGTGTGGAGGCCCATGATGGGTGGATGCAACTTCCAAATGGATAGTGATATCCCTTAGGAAAGTGAGTGAGACTTCGATGTCTAGTGAATGGTTCGCGAGAGGGAACAAAAAAAGTTTGCTTGGCTTAGTAAGGCGCGGGGCCCATAACCTGTTGAGAGCAGGTTGCATAGCGCGGCGGGAAAGCCAGGTCTGGAGTCAAAAGTCAAAAGCTAGTAAGCATTGACTTTCGATCTCCAGTATTGGTAGCTATGATTATGTAAGGTAAGAGCGACATGGAGGGTGTGCTACTTCAACACTAATATCGGTTTAAAATGGCCACAAAAGCTACCGTTGGGCTAAACATAGTCGAATTGCTCTCATCAGTCCTCTCCACGTCAGTCTATAGGCAGACCAGGTTGCTGTCGCATCGAACCTAGATGCTATCGGAACGTTATTATTGTCCACCGTGTCGGCACCCTTTGCAGACTTAGCGCACCACTCGGTCGTCTCCTTAGCTCCCCAGCAGACGTAGTCGGAGCTGACAGAAGCGCGACTAAATCGTGCCGATTCGTTTCCGCAATCGACGATGTAACGACGAACGCTATTTCTCCCATTTTCCACCTGTCGAAGGACCCATTCTAACTTCTGGTTCTAGTACGATGGGTGGAGGCACCACTCGCCTTCATAGCCATATCCTCGGTGCATGGTCTTCCTTCGATCTTTACCCAGAAGGCGACATAGTGTGCAACCCTGTTAATCACGATGCTCATCTACGAAGATGTACGTTCATTCGGATCTTGTGCGGAGCCACGTGTTTTCCTTCATTTCATTCATGTTGAATCTCAGCGCTTGTCATCATTTAACGACTCGAAGTTCGTCATCATCGTTTTCGTAAAGAGTCTTGCGCTGTCCAAACCAATACCCTTCTTAGGATCATTGCGCAATTGTTGTCTACCACGTACTCTTTCAAAGACGACATTCCCACGCCGTCGTCCCGAACGGGTGTGACGTTGTGGCCGTTCAGTTGTCGTTCGACTCTCGCGAAGACCCCAAACTTTCGAAGGCAGATGCTCGTCGTCGCCTTTAGCCACCGGTCAATCACTGGTGGATCCAGGCACTTGTAGTGGCGCAAGCCCGCTATCGTTTCAATACCCATTTTTCCTGCCCACTTCTTCACAGAGTATCTATCACCGCCGACACTTCCCCCACACCCAGTTTTTCGTTGGCGATACACGAGAACTGTGTCAAAAGATGTTCGGAAGAGCTCCAATCAAGAAGGATACTCCAAAACTTCCTGGCTTTGCATTCCGCATTAGCCCATCATGCAAATTAATGAACGATCATTCCCGACCTAAAACAGAGATGACTTGTTTAATGAGCTAGCTGGCTATCACCCAAGAACAGACCCGCATCGCGTTGGCCCAGTTCGTTTACCAAACATATTCACTACACGCCTCCGGGAACACCACCATTGATCAACTGCAGACTAGGCCAGACCAGAACACATAGACCGTTAACTCGTTCTGCACTGTTCTCTTCGCCTAACAGGTGTCGCCCGTCACTGCGTTCATTTTTTTTTTGTTGTGACAGTCAACAATAATAGCAACTTATGGTGATCCACCACATGTATCTGCGTCTCGTATATTTCACTTCGGAAGCGAGCTGATGGTGGAGCATGTGCTTGGTGCACCAGAAGCATCGATGACGACTGCAAGAAGGTAGATGCTTGACAATGCTGAGAACAAGATAAGACAACTAAGTGCTGACGTCGACGACGTAAGTACTCGTTATTCGTGATACGTAGTTTCATTAAGTGATCATCTTCCATTGCAGAAATTGGCAGGACCCGTTGACTGGTTCCAAAAGATGTGTTAATATCCTTTTGGTAGGCTCCTTAGTCTGGACATGTTCGAGGCTGTCGTTAGGACCTCGCTTGCTACCACAGGCTCGGATTTCGTCGCCAGTACTGGACGAGCCTGCGAGGTTGTAGCAGAAGTGAGTCATCATTCCTTCTGATGTATGGAACACATACTCATCGTAGCCAATCGACAGTCATGGTCTCCAATCCTTTTCCAGGTGACAATCTCAAGCGGGTCGTAACCGCATGTGATATCACTTTGCTTTCCTCGGGAAATAGGACGGCGCCGCTACGTTCACTTGCCGTCCGAGTACGTGCCTTCCAGGCTTACAAGAGCCTTTTGGACGCATTCTACGCACTAGCTACATCCTCAGCCTCGTGTCACGCTCAGTCCTGATAGAACCGAAGTCTGCTATCGTCAGGGACGAGCATAGTCACCACTCATCGCGTCCTTCTCCACGACCCTCTTTTATCTATATGATGTTATATAATTCATTTTCCTCTCGCCTGCATCCTCGGTATGCAGATCACCAGTTTTACAGTTTCAACTCCTTCAGTGTACGTCGGCTGTCTAGCTTCGCGGGTCCCAAGTAGAATGTATCGCTAAAACGACCGACGATGGACAGGGTGATCAACGTGCAAGTTACACCGCGTACAGTCAAATGTCCACGAGATTCGGAAAAAGGATGCCTTGTGAAATTCACTTATACACGTGAACCCGACTTATATGGTAAGACTACAGCTTCAGCTCCACTCGGTGCTTTGCTAACACTTGTCTGATAGTCGATCTAATCTTCTGTTTTACACATTCACCTCGACAGCCAGTGTTCAAAAATGCCATCCTTTCCGTAAGCCCTGTTTACAAGGTGCATCCTCCAGCTCAACCGTACATCGGGTCGAAGCTAATGGATTTTGTTCCAGTGGCGAGTATGGCACGGCCCGACCAAGACTGCATATCTTTGGTAGCTCTTTCGTGTGTTACTTCTTTGAGTTACAGAAGTGTTGGAAATCCTCGGTGATGCGCAGGGTAGACTCCAGGCTGGTAAGGCCAGAAGGTATGAACTCCTTATTCTACAGCTCCTACAGAGCTTGTATTTATACTCTCCAGACTTATATCTAGAATTTACTACAACTTTCTCTTTCTCTCGAGCTTACTCATCAACTCTCGGCATGATGCCGGATTGCCCTTTCTAGAACTTTCCAGCAAAATCCCAACAAGAAGACTCGGCATAGACGCGTTGTGGTGGATGATATCTTGCGGATAATCCTCGGTAACTATAGAAGCCAGCTCTCTCAGTGTCCATGGTCTCTGAACTTTCCAACAGATATAAACGGCCCGAGGACAATTCTGGGTGCTTCGACTCTCGTTCCCGTGATACAGTGTGGGTCATGGGATCCCGTCCAACGCATACCAACGTCCTATGTTCGCACACGGCTCGCCTTAAAAAGTGTCGCTGTTGAAAATAATACCGGGCGATCCTTGAAATGAACATCTCTTCCGACTTCCGCAGTACACCGACTGATCTCTTTCGACGATGGACGGCTGCCCTACTCTTTTGGTCGTGGCTTTCCGTTCTACTTTACGGGAACAGTGTTGGGGCGCTTGCCAGGTCTATCGTCCATGATGACACTTTGCATCGTCGCGTGGCTTCATTCACCGACCAAGTCTCCTTTGACAACTACAGTTTGTCGCTACGCGGTCAAAGGATCTTCTTACAGTCAGTATTCTCTATTCGGTTAAAACGTCTGATACAGATGATTATTTAGCTCGGGGGAATTCCATACATTTCGGCTACCTGTTCCATCCTTATGGCCCGACATCCTGCAAAAAGTCAAGGCATCAGGCCTGAATGCTGTCAGTGTCTATGTTCACATGGGTCTCCTCAACCCGTCGCGTGGTGTCGTGGACTTTGACGGCTTTCGTGCCCTGAAGCCGCTGTACGAGGCAGCTTTGGATGCGGGTATTTGGATCGTTCTACGTCCTGGTGTGTATTAGTGCTCCTTCGCCGTTCTAGGGCGCTCAACTTAGATATCACTAGGTCCAGTCAGTTGCGCTGATTTCATTTGTCGATATGTGCTCACCCTTTCTAGTATATCAATGCAGAGACTTCTGCAGGTGGCATAGCCCATTGGGCTACATCAGAAGTTGCTGGAACGCTGCGAACAAGCGCGCCCGATTGGAAAGAAGCATGGATGGATTATATTCTCGGGATCATCGAAGAGACAGCCCCGTATCAAATCACCGAAGGAGGGCCTGTAATTGGTGAGCGCGTCGCTGTTTTGACGCGTTTTGTCCTGATCTCACACTTTTTCAGCTATACAGATTGGTTTGCTTCTTCTTCTAGTGCGAAGACTGCTGATACTGAATCGCTATTTCAGATAACGAATTCACTCAGAGCATCGGTGGAGAGTACTTTGCTGAGCTTGAAGAAGTCTATCGCAATTCAAGCATTGCATTGCCCCTTACCTACAATGACCCAGGAGAGGGTCGTAACTTCATCAATGGGACTGTGGGTTCGTTTTAGTCGCTTCGAAACATGTCATGCTGACGAAATTGCTTCTACTCAGGGCGCTGTCGATCTTTATGGGTCAGTCTTCTTCTTCAGTTCTCTCTTACTCTTCTTATTGTTGCCTCATCAGATTGGATTCTTATCCTCAAGGTTTCGACTGCTCTCATCCCTTGGACTGGAATGGGGTTACCTTGAATTACCATCAATATCACGAAGCAGCCAATCCATCTCAGCCTTGGTATTTCCCCGGTGCGCCCGGCTTCTTTGTCTTCTATATGCTAAGCTGATCTAACCTGGGCAGAGTTCCAGGGAGGTTCATTTGATGCTTGGGGACCAACTGCACCGGGTAATGTACTAAAGTGTTTTCATATCGGCTTCTTACTTAACTATCTTAGGCTATGCTCTTTGCGCCGCACTAACTGGTCCAGATTTCATGTCTGTTTTTTATCTCCAGTTATGGGCCAGCAACGCGAAGCTGACAAGTTACTACATGCTTTATGGGTTTGTCGATGAAATAATTGTCTCTCTGTGCCGTTTCTTATGTCATTCCGTAGTGGTACATCGTGGGGGGCAATACCATTCCAGTAAGCTGACTATGCTATGCTGCTTCTACCATACCTGGCTGACTTCCTAAACCAGTGGGGTAATCCTTGATGTACTTTTTAGATCAAACTAGTGCTAACTTTGGGAAGGTTTACACCTCATACGACTACGGAGCTTCCGTAAGTCAGCTTAATTCAACTCGGCGCGCTAGAGTTCAGACTGGTTCAGATTGATGAAGCTCGGCAATTGACGACAAAATACGACGAACTGAAAAGGCAGTGCCTGTTCATCCGAAGCTCACCGGAATTCCACAAGACAGATTGGATTGCTGACAGTTCCACGGGTCTTTCAATCTTGTCGTCCGAAGCGGTCTTTGCGACTTACCTCCTCAACCCTGATACACAAGCTGGATTTTACATCGTAAGACATACCAATTCCACCTCCACGTAAGGGTTCATTCGAATTGGAAGTTTGTTCGTGACGCTTACCACTTGTGGCTAGTGATATCACCGACTTCAAGATTAACGTTGCTACAGTAGAGGGTGACCTTCAGATTCCGATTATCGCCTCAGCAGTTACACTAGGTGGACGACAGTCTAAAGTCATCGTGTCTAATTACGCCTTCGGCTCTTCACGTCTGTTGTATTCCACGGCACCAATATATTTCGCCGGCGTCATTGACGGTAGAGATGTCCTCTTCATCTATGGAGATGCTTCCCAAGAGCATGAAATCGCTTTATCGCTCACAGGCCGCTCCTTCCGAAAGCAATATGATACTTCATCATTCCGAGCCACGCTCACGCCGAGCTCCGTTATTACAATCTTCTCCTTCCCTACTGGGACTCAAGGCCTAGTGACGGTCTACGATTCCGACTCGCAATTGGTGCTGTTTGCCGACTCTGACACCGTCGCCACCTTCTGGGCACCTGTCATTCCTGGAGACGCCAATAGTTCACTGCGCAATTATTGGGGTCTGGGGACTAATGAGTCCGTCCTCGTGGGTGGACCGTATCTCGTGCGCTCGGCTAGCATATCAGGAACGGTGCTTGCGTTGAAAGGCGACCTCAACGCCAGTACACCGTTGACAATCATAGCTCCTGCTGTGATTAGTTCTGTAACATGGAACGGCGTTGCGTTATCAGTCCATGCATCCTCATCCTTGACGGAAATCGGAGGTCTAATAGGAGATCTCTCCATGTCGTCGGCATCCGTGGACTTCGCAGTGGCTCCGACGTTGGAGGGATGGAAGTTCCGAGACAGCTTGCCGGAGATTCAACCAACGTTCGACGATGGTTCATTTGTCGTCGCGAACCATACCACGACCAATATCCCTCTCAAACCGTATTATTCCGACGGGACAATTTTGTACGGATGCGATTACGGATTGTATGTGTCATTTTCTTGTCATATCGAATTATTGAATGAAATACCTTGAGCTTGCAGCTGCGAAAATATTGTACTTTGGAGAGGACATTTCAACGGCACGGGAGCCGAGAAGAGTGTCAATCTCTCCATAAACGGTGGCGAAGGTGAAAGCACGATGTTGCCTGTTTCTCCGATGCGCGGACTGATATCGGCCCGGCCCTAGCATTTGCCGCAAGCGTTTGGCTCAATAATATCTTCTTGAATACGTCTTACGGAAAGTGAGATATTCAATAAATCTATACGCTGCGGTACTGATGTCGTGTATTCAATTCGCAGTTCAACCAACAATAAAAATATCCTCGAGGAGACAGATGACGTATTCATTTTCCCCGAAGGCGCAGTTTTACCGGGGGACAATATCATCACAGTAGTCCAGGTATGCACAATACACTTCTGAGGCAGAATTTACTCATTCCTTGGCAGGACAACATGGGCCTGAATGAGACTTCTGGAAGTGCGTGCCTATGTTCTCAGTTGCTGTCAACCGTCTAACATTTGTCGTGATGCATAGCAAATACCAATGCTTCTAAAAGTCCTCGTGGCATTCGTGGATTTCAGCTGAACACCGGCAAGTTCACACAGTGGCGGGTTCAGGGGAAAATCGGGGGATACACGGAGTGGGTGCCACCGCCAATGTGAAATACATATATCGCACATCGCTCATGATTGTTTAGCTTTCCTGACAAGACCCGTGGCGTGTTCAACGAGGGGGGTCTTTACGGCGAGCGTAAAGGCTGGCACTTGCCTGGATTCGATACGTCGTCATGGAAGTCGAGGGATCTAAATGATGGTTTACCAGAGTCTGCAGCAGGTGTTGGCTTCTTCGTGACGACATTTGATCTGGACATTCCAGAAGGTTTTGACGTGCCTATGTCGTTCAACTTCAATGAACCGCTCGGTCAGCCCTACCGGGTGTACCTGTTTGTTAATGGCTGGATGATGGGAAAGCGAGTCGGAAATCTAGGGCAAGTTGGACATCATGTCATTCGCTGGCAGAATAACTGACAAACCAAGTCCAGGCCGCAAGCTAAGTTCCCGGTTCATCAAGGCATTCTGGATTACAGTGGAACCAAGTGAGCCCTACCTAATTTCTCAAAACGGAAGGTAGAAAGAATTACATTCTGACAATCGCATCCGTAGCACTGTCGCTGTTGCTCTCTGGGCGATGGAGGCTAATACGACTATTGCCCCCGACCTGCAGCTCAGTGTGGACGCCGTGTATAAAGGTGGGCCGGGTGGCATAGTTACCAACAATCCTCGCTGGTCTCCCGCAGGTCGTGTATAATTGAGGGCACTAGTTACCTCACAACTGAATGCATGTACATACAATCCGCTTGAATGCAGATCGAATCCCGCGTCCATTATGAACTAATGTACACGCAGCGGTGGTGGTATTCATTTAGTACGCTATCTCGGCGTTTTGTACAAGCAGAGGTATGAACAAGCAGAGGTATGAATAATAAATATGTATAGAAGTAGCAGATCCACTCGACACCCCCCGGCCGGCGGCTGGATTTCACACTGCCAGAACCGGAGTCAACGTCGCCGTCGTTGCAGTGATGGGCGTAGAAGGGTTCGAACTGGCGCTACTATCTGGCAGGGATCTCTTCTGCAAATTACCCGTTTCGAGTGACAGTGCCGTCGGATGTGATCGCTGGAAAAAAAAACAAACAAAAACAAAAAGCGAGTTGAGCTCGGGTGCAATTACCAGGAGGCCCTTCAGTGAGTCCCACCCACCTTCTCGCCCAACACAGGCCGTGACGACTGTATTTCCTCACCTTCACTCGCATTCGTGAACCGGCCGGAAGATTGGGCAAAGTTTGTGAACTGGATAGACACTGGCTGGTTGCTCATTTCGCGCAGCCCTTGTCGGGCGTTGAGGCTGGCAAGGTACGAGTTTAGGTAGACTTGGGTTAGGTGGATGGAAACCCCCATCAGTCCGTGGATGATTAGGCCCGCATATGTGTGTGGCACTCACGTTTGCTTAGGAGCAAGTAAAAGCCTAATATTAATGTGTAAGGAGATGAAGTCCCAGAGCCTTGAAGCCAAAACCTACCGAGGAATATGAGGTTGTGCGGCATCGCAGCATACGTAAGGATGCCTAATGCGGCGTCGACGCTGCCCGAACGGTCCAGTTGGTGTGAGAGGAAAAAACGGGCGATATGAAAAACCACACGCACGCGACGACCAATCCGGTGTTCACCGTGTACGCCATGAGAATAGTTATCAGTGAGTCGGTCCTAGGGCAATACTGATCAGCCTCGACTCGGAGCTTTGTTTTATTTTATTTTATTACCTCGGGAACCCCGTACGTGAGATGTAGAGATAATAACACAATGCGAGCGCAACGCTCACATCGCTCGTGGTACCAGCTGCAAAGTTCAAGTACAACAGCGACTGGCACAAGTAAACGCCCCGAACCACCACGCGCGCAAAAAACAACACGCACCGAGAGTGTATCCAGCTCGAGATAGCTCGAGATCCCAAACCTATACGATTCAGAAAGCTTTTAGTTATTCTTTCGAAGAGAAAAAAAAAAAGACAAGCCCAACGGACGCTTTAGCGGTGATCACTAACATGCGGGAAAATTTGAGTTTTTTTTTTGTTTTCAATCAGAAAAAACCTCTCCAGCCTGATAGAAGGAAGTACGGATCGACAAACTCACCGATCCCACAGACTATGATTGATTGATTGATTACGCCCTCGTGCTGTATCCATATTCATGAATCGATGCCATACCTAAGTCCGTAGCCGATACCGCCGCCTGAAAGATCAGTGAATCATCGGTCTAGGAGAGGGAACGGAACGCCCCCTCACAATCCACAGCGTTATCACTTTATTCCCATTACTCACTAAAAAAAAACCCCAATCAACGCACGCAGCAAGAGTCGTTCGTTTCTCCTACATCGGTACACCCGGCGAGCGAACATACTAGTGTGGTGTGAGTGCATGAGCCGAAACCAACCCAATACGAGGGGGGAGGTGGGGTGCTCCGAAACTCACCTCCGGATTATAAAATCGGAGATCGACTGTATGCGTGGGTGGGTGAAAGAGAGGGGAGGGGGGCATAATAAGGGACTCTGTGGACACGATGGAGATAAAAACCCAACCCACCGTGATCGCTACATGGAGCTAAACCCATCTCAGCCACACTTCGCCCATAGAAAAACAAAACAAAAAAAAAACACAGCAGGATAACTACTCACGATCACACTCCTACGACGCGATGAAAAAAAATGAAAAAAAAAAATCAAACCACGAAGGACGACGCGACGCACCAAGTCGGCGCGTATATAGCCAAAGGGTTCAAATAGTTCTTGACGAGATAGAAATAGAGAATGTGCCCGTTCAACACCGAGTCGAACGTATCCAAGACGCTTTTCAAAAGTTTTTTTTTTTTCGATTACCACGAGGGGGGTTTAACTCACAGAAGGAACGCGATCTAAGCACCATCCATCGGAATTCCATCCACATACACAAAAACGCAAAACACGACTCACAAGCAACTTGAAGGCCGCCTGATCTCTCTGATTCGTCGTGAAGAACGTATACGTCTGCACACACGTTATGCCCCACAACCTAAAAAATAAAATCAAGTCAGCTTTTTTGCTCAAGAAGCCCGAGAGAGAGACATACGCCATGGCCACGAGCCCACCGACCAATAGCGCACCCAAGGTATTATCAAAGCCAGCCATAGGAAGAGGAGAGCAGAAGAGGGGGGGGTGCGGTGCGGGGGGGTGAGGGGTGGGGCGAAGAGACACAAAGCCCCCACATTCCAACATAAATGGATATTGATAACGCACACACGCGGAGAGAAGGAAGCAAGACCTTTTTTAGCCGAACCATATTGGGTCCGCACGCGTGATCATAATAATAGGTACGCGAAATTGGGTGTATGCTTAAATTTGAGGGGTGGGGGTGGGGGGGTGTAGGGAAGGAAGCCAACAAAACGTTGGTTAGGCTGGACCCGAAGTAGAAGAAAAGTCCATCAAGTCAATCCGCTCGACGAAAGGTTAGGGTTCCGCCTACCACACATAAAACATAAAACCCCCGCCTGTCTCGGTGTATCTCACGGAAACCATCTTCCCCCAGGAACCGGTCCCCCACCGCCCCCTCGACCCTTCCCCGAAATGAGTGCGTGCACGCATGATAATTATTAACATTGATGCAATAAAACACATCCCATGATAAGTTACAAAACTAAGAATAACACAAACAAAAACTCAAACCGAAGACAACCAAAACAATATTTATAGCAAAAAAACTAAACCTGTAGACCCGCCTGACTGATGAGTCTTACCGCTTGTTCAGATCGAGGCTTAATCGTACACTTGTATGGGTTCGGTGTTCTGTTCCCATCCCATGAGAAGGAGGGTTAAAAACAGAAAAAAAGGAAGACATACCTAAACACCGAATTATCAAACTCCACTATAGGTTCGATGACGTTACCCGCATCGTCTACCGATTTCCGTATGTCAAGCGTGGCCAGCATACCCGCTATCAAAAGCCATGCCGACGACTCGACGAGGTGCGCACCAGGACACGTCCTACAATATCTCGCATATGAGTTCCCACCTCCCCCGGCATCAGACAACAAAACCCCATAAGAAAAAACACACCGTCTCCCAAATCCAAACACGTAATTCCGCACATCTCTCCGCTTTTCGGTCACAGGATCCACAGGGTTCAAAAACCTCTCTGGCTCAAATGCATGAGGATTCGGATATATCGAGTCGTCTCGGAGGATGGACCTAAAAATATGGGCGTGTCTTTCGGGTCAGAGTTGTTTAATGAAAAAGAGAAGAACGGGAAGCGTTTCCGCACCAGATGTTGCCAAAGACCTAAACGAAAATCGCATATAAGAAACTCCGGAAGATATTTTTTCACGCTTTGCTCGGCGCTTACCAAAGATCCCTTGGGAATATACATATCCCGATAGACATCGTCTTCCATAAGTCGATGCGGCAGGCCTAGAGGGTGCGCATAATCAATCATCCCTGTCCTTTGCTCGAGATGGGTCATACACCACACGCACATAACGGGACTGGAACGCCCCATCTCCAGGTCTCTTTCAAAATAGCATCGACTGCAGATTATATAACCAATGCGTCAATCAGTTTGGAACCGAACGCAATGCACGTACCATAAGGCAAGGAAGCGCGGTCCGCAAAAGTAGGAAGACGTTCGGTTCCAATGACACTGTCGATCTCCTTGCGTGCTTTCTCCATCACCTCGGGGTAGAGTATCATCGCCAAGATGAAATGCATGACGGTCGTGATAGTCTGGAAAAACCCATTAGCGATAAGCGCCGGGAAAGAGAAGGAGAAGAAGGCCCCACCGTATCTCCACTGGCAGAATACATCGAATTCGCCGTCCATTTGAGATCAAACATAAACTGGTCTGAGCGATTATCCATCTCCTCGAGCAGCCTTGAGCAGAATGACGGTGCGTAGGTACCGTATTTCTGTTGAAAGTGAGGAAAGAAAGAAAAGAAAAAAAAAGACATACCAGCGACCTAAGCGTATACTCGAACGGCTTCTCGACAAACTCCTCCATCTTGGCCTTCCACACCATCGCGTTCCTCCTGAACGCAGAGCCCGGAGCCCACAGAGGCCAGTTCTTCAACGCCGGGAAGATATCCACGGGCCAGATCCCCCCACCAGACGCGACTCTGTTCGAGAGGATATCCACACACTCTTCGGCCATGCGGAGGAACTGGTCATCGTTGGACGAGACCGTGTAGCCGTACAACACGGAGAGCGTCAGCCCGCCCGCGTACCTGCGTGTGTGGAGCAAATGCTCATCGGGCGTCGCCAGCAGCCTCCTCAGGAACACCTGCGTCTCCTCCTCCATGAGCGGATGATACGCCGGCACGGCCTTGATGCCCAGCGCGCTCGTCAGCAGCTTGCGCTGCCTCCTCATCTGCTCGCCGTAGCCCGTAAATGCGACCTGTTTGGATAAGCAACCCCCATGCTGGGTCTCGCAAAGAAAACACATGAAGGGAGCGGCGTACCATGTTCTCGCATCCACATCTAAACGTGAAAGCGAATCAATAAAACGCGTCCCCCCAACCCGCGGAAAAGAAAGAAACCACGCACAGCTCTCCCGCCATAACCAGTTGTGGCTTATCAGAGTACACCGACCCTCGCTTATCCAGCAGATCGCAGACCGCTTCTGGGCTGTTCAAGAACACCAGTCCCTGTCCGAAGACGTGGACGTAGACGACGTCGCCTGGGGTGGGGTGAGGTGGGGCAGGTCAGTCAAGGAAGGAAAGAAAGAAGAGAGAGAGAGAGTGGGGGAGGGAGGGAACCCGGAACACACACCGTATTTCTTCCCCCATTTCGTGACGACGAGCCACAGTTCCTTCGCGGTCAGATCGAAGATATTGCCGAGCAACCAAAGCGGCTTGGGACCTGGCGGGAACGGCACCGAGGAGCGTGGTCGTTGTTGTCGTCGTAGCGTGCGCTGCCAGGCGAACACGAATAGTGCTATCGTCGTGAGTGTGATAAAGAGCATCGCGGTTCGTTCGTTCGTTGTCGTCGTCGTAGTAGTAGTAGTAGTCGTAGTCGTGAATAACGGTGGTGATGGATGGATGGATGGAAGAAAAGGTAAGGGGGAGAAGCAAGTGGGTGGCTGAGGAGGGGAGGTAGGGTTCAAACTAAAATAAGCGTCACCACCCCCCCCATCTCTGTCGCCTTTTGAGAGAAGGAAAACCTCGTAGAACCGCCGCCGGCCCCTTTTTCCCATCTCTTCTTTATGTAAACGATTGCATACATAATTCGGCGAGATCCCCCGTTGTGCACGTTCAAAACGCTGGGATCGGCCTAGTAAAAAAACAAGTGACCGAGGAAGTGGGAGAGTGAGGGTCCATCGGTCAGGGTGGGCCTACGATCACCTCGTGCTACGTGAGTGCATTCCGCTTTCGTCATTTTCTTTTTTTGAAAAATCTTATTGCCTCCGTGGGGGCTTTTTGGTGGTTGTATTTTTTTTTTCTCCGGGGCGGTGACGGACCGTTGTTGGGCTTCTCTCTTCCGTTGGAGGGGCACTCATTATGGACCTCTATTGATTTTCCACCGGTGCCGTGAGTTATAGCTGGCCCTCGACACAAAGCCCACCATAGCAACAGCACCATCATCTCATCTCCTCGGGGCGCCAAAACTCCTCCTGCTGGATCTCACGTTGTCATAACATAACAATCTCAATGAAAACATATGACAACGCCCTTCTCTTCCGGACCGCCAGTGTCAGCCATAATTCATAATCCATCGCGCCTTGAATGTTCCTGGGGCTTTAAATGCCGACTCCACCCACCTACGCGCCGATAGTAGTAGTAATTTAAATCTTCTTTTTTCTCCCACTCATACACACACACGGACCCGTTCCTGGGTTCATTAACCTCTAACATCGGGTATCAATGGCACTTCTCTCCGTGAACAGTAAGCAGGAAGCAGGGCGTCCCCAATCATGTCACCGCATCGTATCAGAACGCCAGGAAAGACGCCGAGGTCAGGTCCCACCATCCGGATCCTCGTACCGGTTCTCTTCTTCCACTCCTCCCAATCCTCCCACCACCAATCTCCCGGGTACCCCCTCATCTCATGCAAACACGCCTGACCTGAAAAAACACGTTTCGTTTACTAGTAGTAACTTCCCCCATCGACATCCATCCATATATCCCAAAATCCAATTCCTCGCAGCAGGAGCTCGATCCAATTCCAATTCATCCACCACTAAACTAATCAGAAGGAAATCCCCGAAAGAAAACAAACAGGCCTTCGGGCCTTGGGCGTAATCCCCATTCCCAAGCACCACCAAAAAAAAAAAAAAAAAATCGGGCCTAACACATAAATACGAGTCCTCAAGTACAGGCAAGCCCCGAGGGAAACTGTAATTCGCGTTAATTAAAAAAGCGAAGAGCCTGGACCCGCTAATCTACAACGCCATGAACCATAAATACCACCAGCAGACCAATTCCCAATGGGCGAGAGAGAGAGAGATTATCTTTCAAGCCAAGTTCCTAACCTCCCAGCATAATAGCCTAGATCCTCTTCAGCACCCCCCGACTTTTAAGCACACCTTCCCAAAAACTCCAATTCACACCCAAACTCCATAATTAAACGCCGAAAAAAGTGGACGGGTGGGTGGAGTGGACGAACACATGCTAGCAAGATAAGCGAAACGCCACATAGGATAGGAACACACAAAGATAACATTGCTCCCTTCGCCCCACCAGGTAATAAAAGAGCGACGCCCTCGGAATATGAAAAAAGAAAAAAAAAAAAAACACGCCACAGGAACGCCAACAACACGCATATCATATCCGACGAGTCACCTGTGAACAACACGAGGGGAACACCCCCCCACATACACACAGTCTGTGAGAATGCGAACCTCGACGGAGACGGAGAAAACACAAAGGAACGGGAGCATCGAGACTTAGCCATAATTCCAATGGTTCGACAGAAAGAGAAGAGAGAAAAACACGAGGTTGCCGGAGGAGGAGGAGCAAGTCTAGACCTAGACCTCGGAAATAAGCGACGGACTCGTCCCCCTCCAAGCTCTACCCTCCCACCGGGGAATTAAGAAATGCAAAAAAAAACAAAATCCAAGACGAAGAAACGAATGAAACACCGGAGAAAAAAAAACCCAAAGATGAGTGAAACCCCACCAAGTCAAGAAACGGGAACGGGAACGGAAAACAACCAAAGCAAAGCCCGGCGGTAGTAAGCACCCAAACTGACTTCCTTCCAGTATCACGGATATAAATGCCAGAACCAAACAAGTCGCAAAGGTCCAAAAAAAAAGGTATGCGCTCCTCCTCCTCCTCCTCCTCGGGAAGCGATCAGCCCCACCAAGAGAATGGCTGTGGGGGATATCCACAAATCAAAAAAAAAAAAAACAGCCACACAGGAAAAAGGCCAAATGGAAAACGTATTTGCGGGGGCAAGAAAAGAACACCCATCCGGAAATTTCAGGAGCGCCCAGCACACAAGGAGAGAGAGAGGAAGAGAGAAGGAAAAGCCGGAACCAAAACCCACAAAGCGGTAAATCGGCATCTCCTCGGCGCCGTCCCGAACCTCCGAAATAGACGCTCTAAATCTACGTGTCAAAAGCCAAAAATACCAAAAGCCCCACTGATTCAAATTCCAAAGTACATACATAACAAACAACACTTATATACTGATACATTGCCTTGATTCTTGGTAATGTCCATGCACAGAGAAAGAGAAAGAGAGCAAGAGTTGTCGTATCGTGGTCATTAAAAAAAAAAAACGCACCGACCGATTAATCCATATCCATATCAAACCCATCCCAATCCTCCTCTTCCCTCTTCGCCTTATTATCCTTATCCTTATCCTCCCACTGCTCGTCCTCACTCATCTCGTCCTCCTCCTCCTCCTCCTCCTCCTCCTCCTCCTCCTCTTCCTCCTCCTCATCCGACTCTGGCACACTCTCCCCAATACTGCCATACTCGAACCTCGGCGCCAGCACCTCCATGGGCGTTCCCGGCTGCACATCATAATCATGCATCCTCCTCCTCCTCCTCCTCCTCTTCCTCCTCCTCATCCGACTCTGGCACACTCTCCCCAATACTGCCATACTCGAACCTCGGCGCCAGCACCTCCATGGGCGTTCCCGGCTGCACATCATAATCATGCATCCTGGGACCCGGCCTCCCCCCCGCTCCTCCTCCTCCTCCTCCCCCTCCTCCCACAGGAGCACTCGAACTGCGCCCAGGCCCGCCGCTCAAGAAACTCGGCCACAAACTTCTATCGTCGGGCAAGCTCTCGCTCTTGAGGTGACTGAGGATAGCAGCGGCCTCGAGGAGCTGGACCTGCTGGTGTTTGCTGAGGACGTATTTGCTGGACTCGCGCCAGTGGGGAGTGTGTTCCCAGCGGTGTTTGATGAGGCAGGAGGGATGGCGGTAGATCTGGCGGAGCGAGGTGAGCGCGCGCGCGGGGGGGAGGAACGAGGGAAGGAAGGTGGGGAAGAGGGAGAGAGGTACCTTGGAGCAGCTCTCGCATTTATGATCTACACCTCGTTTCTTACCGTTCTTGGGTATGACGACGGGGCTGGAGATGCCTGCGAGCTCATCTGGGGTAGATACGGAGGATGGACTTGCGGGGGAGGGGGGAGAGCAGCGGTGAGGGAGACAGCGAAGACGAGGGGAGACGACGACAACTCACGAAGGACGGGAAGCAGCGTCTCTAGCATCGCTAAGCCTCCTCTTCGCCTTACCGGTCGAGGAGAGACGACGATGCTTGGACTCTGGGATAGGCTGCGCATTGGCCGCTGCCACGGATAGCGAGAGAAGACTCAGACCGTCCTTTTACCCACTAATCAGTTCGTCGTCGTCGCTGGTACGAACAACTCACCGTGGGCATAGACTGCGACATGATAAAACAAGACAAGAACGATTTGGCGGTGTAAAAAAAAAAATACAATATAATAGTTCCGATTACACAATCAGACCTGTCCTATTTTGGAAAGCTCACGAGTGCGAGCTTGGGGAGTATCTTGCGCAAATCATCATCCTTCTGTTCCAGATGTCCGCCCACGACAACGAGCCGCTCCACGTCCCGAGCTTCTTCCAGCACGTCTCGAATCGGCCCATTTCCATCTCCAGGTGACACGCCGAGGACCCGGACGGTGCATCCCGACCGGCGCACTAACGCTTTGAGGGCGGCTGCGTCGGCGCCACCGAGCACGCCGAGGACATCCAGCTTGGGGAGCTCCAGCCATTCCAACAAACCACCGACGCCCTCGCCCTCGACCCACAACTCGCGGATGACATCATGTCTCACCGGCCATCCGCCCACCACCGCGGGGGTAACCCGGCTCCTAAACACGCCAACGGCGCTCATCTTCCCGATCCACTCCAAATTCTGTTCATACGTCGGCACGCCGCGACACAGCCCCGCCCCCGCCAAGACGCAGTACCCGGCCTCCTCCTCGCCCATCTCAAACTCAAACTCCTCCAACGCCTCCCAGCGCACACCCAGCACCCTTGCTGGGTACCCACGAGTCCGCATCCTCCGCACCCTCCCCAGCTCCACAGGCGCCGCATCCCCAAACAGCGCATCGAACCGGCCCCCGCCCGGATTCACAAACACCAGCCTCTCCACCTCGCCGCCCCCCTGCAGCACGGCCCGCACGCTCTCCTCCCCGCCCAGATCCACCTCGATGTCCCTCCTCCGCCCCTCCAGACACCTCACGAGTGGGTGCCCCCCACTCACCGCGATCCTCCCGCTCAGCCGCATCTCCACCCGCCCCGCCGCCCTCTCCAGCTGCCTCTCCAAACACCACACCACCCTCTCCACATGCGGATGCAGCGCCACCACGTCGAAATTCACGTGCACCCGCGTCCACAGCGCCGCGAGGCTCACCCCCGCCGTGCGCCAGTGCCCGCACACCTGCGTCACCGTCCATGCCGGGCTCGCTAAAAAGTCGCCTTCCGCAGGATGCGAGCACACACAGAGCGCGAAGATTTCGCGGAGGACGTCATATGGGAGCGTCGATGCCGGCGACGCGGAGCTCTGTAGGAACATGTCGTCTTGCGTGGGGTAAGTAGTGCGACAGCAGTCTTGGGTGGTGGTGGTAGAATCGCCCGCATCGCAGATAGACCGTCCTTTATCAGCATACCGCCGTCGCGCAACCCTGCTCTCGCTAGGCGATACGTCGCCCACCTGTCGTCGTATAATTCCAATAGCAGCCATCAAAAAAATCCTAGCGAAATCCTCAGCCCCAAACCAAAAACAAAACAAGAAAAAAGGTCACAAACCCACCTTCAGGCTATTCTTCAAGCTAGCTTCAAATTCCATCCCTTCCCTCCTTAAATACCCTACCCCCCCACACCCCCCTCTTCCCTTCCAATTAACCCTCTAGCGAAGAAACAAACATGAAACCAATCAACGTTCAATTTCCGAACATCACCCCGATAATTAACTCGGCACACAAATTTAAAACGTTAATTCCTTCTACCACGTGTCCAACGCGGCGTTAACGTTTATATCCGCATGCAACCCACAACCCTCTTCCCCTCTCACTCACTCTATCTCTCTCTACGTCGCGGCTTCATTTACTCTTTTCCAGTCCGGTTAATAAACGCGCGTTTGATGATTGCACCATGGTACCGAATCTCTCAACGGCAACCTACCGGTCAATAAACACGCGCTTTGCTGCGCCGGGGGAGGTGGGGGGGTGGGGTTCCGCTCCATGTCCCATGTCTCTCTCTCCCCGCCCTCCCGCTCGCTTTGAAATTTTTATTATTTAAGCAGGGATCCAGTACCGCTACTGGAGGAAACCCGTCCCGTCCTTCCTTCAGGATAGAAGAAATCCCCTGCCCGCTGCCCGCTGCCACCGTGTGTGTGGCTGATACTTGATACCGCAAACACGGGCGTTCAATATCCACAACGTGTTATGGGGGAGGCGACGCCGCCGGTTAATTGACTCTTTGCTTTTTCACTTGCGGGTGGCTGATACACGCAGAAATGAGAAATGATGATAACCCGCGCATCGAATGAGGTTAGGACGCAGTATGGGAACCATTACTATTGGTACGGTACGGCGCCCGACGCAGTTGGCGCTTTCGAGTCCCCCCTCCCCCGCCCGAAAGGTGATACTCCAATACATAGGTTTCGTCGCTAGGGGAGATGGGCGTGTACGGGAACGGGAAAAATTGGAGTTGTACGGCCATCAGTGGCGTCGGGTCAAATTTCCGCGCAAGGGCGGTGGCTCTTTTGTACATGAATAAGCACGCCTTTTTTTAAAAAATTAAGGGCTTGAGGAAGGAAAACGTCGCACAAAGGGGTGGGTGGCTGTGGCTGTGGCTGATACTTCATATCGCACTAGATATTTTATGGATGGATGGACGGGGTGGCTGATACTGATACACCGCATCCTGCGGGTGGCTGAGAAGTAAACCCCGCGCGTGCGGGAGGGAGGGAGGGAGAAATTTTTTTTTACTGGGAAGGTTAACGTCTCGGATTGTTGTCCGTTTATTATTCTTTTTCGTGTACCGCTGTGGGTTCGCCTCGTGTCGCGTCAATCTTCCCCGCCGCTTTGAATTTGGGTGGGGGGCGCGGAAACTCTTGAGTTCATGACCGCACCGTCTCTCATCGCCTCTGGTTAATAAACCTTCCAGGGAAAAAGAAGAAGAAAAAAGATCGCACGTTATGACGTCGGTTACTCTCGCTCTTTAGTAGGTGCTGCCGGTCGATTCCAATTCCCCCTCCCCGCCCCGCCGTCCCTTTGAATGAAATTAAAAATGAGGAAAAACACTGAATTAAAAGCATGGCAAAAAAGGCGGAAAACCACGTCCATGGTGGAGGAAGACAAGGCAAAGACATGTATGCCTCTTACTGCTTTGAACGACGCGTTTAGAAACAGAAACAGGACAGGAACACTACGGCCATCATATGTAAAGTCTCGACGCCGCCGGTTACTTTACAGGCTGGAGGGGTGGCTGATACTTTCGTACCGCGCCTTTGGATACCAGGCAGGTACGGGGTCATACATTAAACTGAGGGAACGAGTATCGGGGTATATATGCTCGGTTGTGGACGAACAGGGAACATCAGAGAAGCAACCGCGCCGCCGCCGCCGTCCCGGTTATAATCATCTATCTTCTCCCACCGCTTTAAGGACAGAAAGGTGGATGATGATACGTATACTTAATATCCGTACCGTAATGAGTGGCTGATACGGGGGGGAGGAAATTCGAAGCGTGTTAACATCGAGGCGGATGGAGTAAATGAATCGACACCCGCACCATTTACGCGTGATAACCACGCAAATACGAGCGAATATCGGGGATCATAAAAAAAAAGTCTCGGCGCCGCCGGTGAAATAATTTACTCCTACAAGGCGAGGTGGCTTCGGGTACTTGATACCACACCAAGGGATCGTCTCCCTGTTCCCCTGCAGAACAGGAACACTACGGCCCATCATGCATGAATTCTTGACGCCGCTTTAAAATAGGATAGCTTAGCTGACCACACCGTACGTCCGACTCTATACCCGACACCTGGGAGGAAGGGAACGAAATGAACAGGATTCGTGGTGATATTCTCTAGCTCGAGACATTGGGACGGACGTCGCACTTGTATAGGCGCGGTGGAATGAAAAACAACACGACCAAGGCATGGAGATATTGAATCGATATCTCCCCCCTGAGAATACGGAGGCCACGTACTGGAAAAAAAAAACAAAATTCGGGTCGGAGGTGTCTCTCTTCATTGTGGGTGGGAGGAGAAGGGGGGTAAATGAATCAAAGTATTAAGGAGCGTACATGAATAGCCGTCGGTAGTATTCTCTGAGCCGTGATCCCCCCTCCCCCCCCTTTTGATTGTGCGCTCCCTCAAGTTGCTTGCTGTTCGGAAATGGGCAACTGGGCCTCTCTCATTCCCGAGCCCCATGACCATGCCGGGTGGATTCATTTCATATAGTGTTTGAAGTGTGGGGACTCTTCAGGAACACGAGGTTCATATTCGCGCCGCGCCGGCCTCTGAGTATGAAAGAAACCCAGTATCTGGTGAGCTGGGACTCCTCCTCCCACGAACACGAGGGTAACGTGGGGTTACCATCAATTAAAGAAAGGCGCAACCTAAGTTAACTCGACCGCAGCAGCAGAACACACGCACCACTTTGAACGTAAGAATCCTGTGAAATTCGTGTCGTTAGCACTCGAATAACGCGGATAAAGAAACCCTGCTTGACGACTGGAAATTAATCGTTCTCGGCGTTGAGATGGCAGTATTTGCAGTTCCCATACCGCTGAACTGGGACAACAGCGGTGCGTGCGCACGAATCGAATACCCATCAGAGATGCCTCCCCGCCCAGTTACGATCGAAAAAGAGGTAGGAGTCTGGACTTTGGGGGGGGGGAGATTCATTTTTGAAAAAGTTGGACGTCCACATTCGAATTGTTCATGTCGTTTTCCTCCGCGCTCCAAATATTTTTTTAAAAAAAAACAGCTTCTCAGGAACGCTCGACAACGTGCGGTTTTCCCACTCTAACATTCATGCACAGAACTGCGGTCAGTGTAGTGTAGCCTGCGGGGTTTAGTTCCCATCGATCAAAGAAGGCGCGTGACTGACCCTGCTTGTCCTCGGGTACCTCGATCGGGACATTAACCTTTTAAACGACGACTCGGGTACACAAGAAAAAATTGTTGAGGAATCGGTGTGCGGCCAGTAGTAACTCGGATTTATTTTGGATGGTCCGTAAAATGAACTTGGTGGCGGGGGGGGAAGGGAATGATTTCAGAAGGTGATGATTGTCTGCGGTTCCATGCCAAGTGAATGAATGAAATGAAACGAGCCCCCCCTGGCTTGGATGATTGGAATATTGGAATTAAACCATGTGTGAAGGGAGCTCGATTAATGAATGGTACGGTGATATGGAGCTAGTCCAAATTGTGAGGCCAACAAACAGGAGCGATCACCATCACCTAAATTCAAGGACGAACTGAGACGGGGGGGGGAGAAGACTTTGGTTCGATTCCAGCTTACCGACAACAAAGAACAAGCATGGATGGGTTTCCGCCAGGCGAGAACCTTTTTTCAAACAAACAAACGACTTGGAACCCTGGTACTGAGGATCACAGTCAGCGTGTGAGCCGCTCGCACTTACTCAACCATTGGGACTCGGGAACAAAAAAAAGGTAAAATTCGTTAACAACTTGATATATATCGTCCACCTGGATTGGATTCGGGGGGCCATCCTGCGTTCCGGCGAGGGGGGGGGAAAGTTGAAAGAATCAAGTATACAACCGCCAACCACCGCGAGAACCGAAATAGCGGGTTACCGTCAATTAAAGAAGGCGTATTCCCCCCCCTTCACAACCCAACCCTGCCTGCCCTGCCCTGACAACGAGCGTAAACGGGTACCTCACCTGGATGATCGGGCATTAACCTTTTAACTTGAAACGTCACTGAGGTTACAATCAACGACGAGCTAGTCCTAGGAACCGGAGTGTGGGGGAGGATGGATGGATGATTTGTTATATCCCGAGTCGGTGAAATGAAATGAATCATTCATTACTGCTGCGACTGACAGGCTCCAAGTTTGCATTTTGGGGGTGTGAATGATTTGAGAAGGGTTTTTTTGTTGTGATTTCTCCACTTTCATTTCATATAGCCAAGGAACAACCTAGAACTTGATGTGTAAAAAGTACTAGTAAACGAACGCACATGATGTATGTAACGCGGGGGGGGGGGGGGCTATGACCTAAATTCGAGGAATGGGTATTATGAATGACTCGGACTCCAAGCCACGGGAGTTCCATCGTTGCACACGGGAGCTTTTCAACCAGACGAACTCCCGCAATCAGTAGTGACGAACTTCCCTTCCCTTTCGTCCCATCAGTTAGCAATGCCGTTGAAATTGAAGAAGGCGCACGGGAGCTTTTCCAGCATTTTTCAGATCACGGCTTTATAATGGAAGAAGACGGACACTCTTTGCGACAGACAGACGCCATGAACGATGTCATAGTGATCTCCATTCCACGTCAACCGCAGGTTGTTTGCATCGGGAGTCGGCACGTCCGTATTCCAAAAAACCGCAGCGTGGGGTTGCCAATGAAAAAGAACCGAAAGATATCATTGCAGCTTGTTCTGTGAGGAACGAACATACACCAATTGAAAGGGACGGATGAATGAATGAATTGGCATAGTAGCAAAGAACACCCTCCATCCCACCGGAGATGATCGTCGCCATTTCTCGAGGGTCTCCTTACCCTTTGCAGTAAACACGAGGCACGCCATCTAATAGTCCACCGCTCCTTCCTTCCCAACTCGAGTTAGACTACCACCTCGCAGGTACTTCGCCCCCATATGGCGCACAAGCCAAACCAGCTCGATCACACCACACACTGCCAAAAATAATCAAATCATTACGGCTGAGCGAGTATACAAAAGCGCCAAAGGAGTGACCATAGTTAGTCCGAAGAAGTAGGATAAGACAAATGATGATGATGTATGATGTGGAACAAGGAGACTATAGCTAGCAACTGACTTACACACCCCCAGACCCTCAACGCACCAGGGAAGAAAGGAAAAAATAAAGGAGACAAACGCATATGTATGTATGATTTCCGTCCGGATCAACAACAGGCTCCGCCCCTCGCTTCCGACGTTTGTTGATTATCAGAGGTGAAGAAAGGACAAAAAGAAGTTCTCTGTTTACCAGCCTGCCGCTGGTTGATTGTAGGGCTGCGGATGACGGGATGTGAGGAGGGGGGGTAGACAAAAGGGAAGAGAGAAAGTCCGATCGCTTACCTCTGCATTGGCTTCGCGACGCCAGGACGCTGCGGCACCGTTCATGGGCTAGAAGGGTTTTATTTATACTCACAATAAGGGCAGGCGGGGTGGGATTTGCTCACCTCAGCCTCAGCTTCCCGACGCCAGGACTGGCCCGAAGCGCCTCCGTTCATGGGCTAATAATCGATCAGAAAGGATAATCAAAGAAATGGAGGAGAGAACTCACTTCAGCTTCCCTGCGCCATCCAGCAGCTGGTCCGTTCATAGGCTTTGAAGGGGGAGGGGACGGTTAATCAATATGGGAATGATGAATAGATGCAGTGATAGATACCTCAGCTTCTCGACGCCATGCTTGACCGGAATCACCACCGTTCATGGGCTATATAAAAAAGAACGTGAGTCGAGTCGAGAAGGGGGAGGCGGTGATAGTCGGTTAGCGGTGCGTACCTCCGCTTCGGGTTGGCGACGCCAAGATGCACCGGTGGAGCCTCCGTTCATGGGCTGCGGGAAAGTCAGGTATTGGGTAAAGAAAAGAAGGGCACGCGTAGAACGGTTGCCGTACCTCAGCCACTCGACGCCAGGCAGCACTCGGTCCGTTTGCAGGCTGTATTAAAACAGAATGTATATAAGTTACGGTGAATGCTCCACTAGTATGGATTGACGCACGTCACGACGCCAGGCCGCTCCGGCTTGGTTGGCAGGCTGATAGATAGCATGAATGGACGATAGTTTCAAAGATCCAGAACGCAGTCGTACCTCACGCGCTACGTGGATTTCCTAGAGAGAAAAAACACACAAGTCAACGCGTGAAGATAAAGATAATTGAAACCCGCAGCACTCACCTCAGCATCACGGCGCCAAGATTGACCTGATTGACCTCCTCCGCCGTTCGCGGGCTGGGACGGAGTAAACACAGAGCAAACATTAGGACAGACTCAGACGCGCACCTCCGCCTCCCGCAGTTCGACCTCTCTTTGTTCTCCCTAAAGTCGACATTTAGAAAAAAAAAATTCCGCCAAGTAGAACGGTGTGTGGGCGTACCACAGGGGCGGCGCCAACGAACACGATCGCCGAGGCCAGTACGACGAGTAAACTATGGAATCGCATAGTGCAAGGTATAGAAGAATAGCAAAGGTATGCTTCGTGGAGAAGGGGACAGAGGGAGGGAAAGGGAAAAGTGACGATATCAGGGAACCCAGTCGAATTTAAATATGACAATGTTCCAGCCGACCTTGCCAAGCGAACTGTTCCTGAATGGTTCGTGCCTGCATTGCGAGCTTGGTTTCCCGATTGGGAAGAATCTTTAGCCGGTGGCAACTTAATTTTTTTTTTTTACGTTTGGTTCGTTCTTCTCTTCCACCCTCTCGCTCGCTGGGGGTGCTTGCAATGCCGGCTCGGATGATCCCCTACCGGCCGAGCCCAGACGAAAAAGAACATGGCCTTGATTTACGGATGCCTATAGATGCCGGGTTGCCGATTACTTGCATTTCTCCCTGTCTTGGTCGCAATTCTAGCCTGTGTGGATGAACGCCAACCACGAAAAGACTCCGAATTATCTCACTTGGTTCGAGGGGTTCGATTTTCTAGTCGGAAACCAAAGTTGTGGTTTCCGAGCCTCGCTGAATGTGGTGTGGTCTTTTTTTAATTGCAATCAGCGAACGAGAGCAACCGAAGGTAACCTCCATTATTGGCTCAACATGAAGGGCAGACCGCGTGTGGAAAACACACCTCAACTCCCCTTCCCACCGCATTCAAAATCAACTGCTGCAGATCAGGATGCAAACTCGCCCGGACGTTGTTGGCACGTCCTTGATTAACCCTGCTTTTTTGGCGCCGAGTATGATCTGCGACGTTGACAGACTCTGACAGATTTTTATCAAACTTTGCATCAGACCGACACTTGGACATACATGCACTTTCTGGGCGTTGATTGTCGCGGGAGACGAAAGATTAGATCAGATTACCGTACTATTTTGGGGGAGGGCAGTGGCATTTGCGGGAGGGCGCCTTGGTGCACCGCATGGGTGCCCCGCATGCTCCCCGTGATAGCGGTCCCGAATGAATACCTTCCCTTGCTACAACAGCGTATACCACTCTGAATGCACATATTTAGCGGCACCCTTTGTGCTAACGGACAAAGGCCTTGCCTTTCATTCATCGCTCTTTCATTGACATTCCTTTCAACGATGAAACACCACCTCGTGTACGTCGTACGCCCACCCCACCTTGACCTTTTTCCACCATCTCCTCCCTCGGAGCATTCGCAATGTCCAGCATTTTCCCGTTTTTCTCTGCAGAGCACCTGCGCCGCCACGACGAAATGATGCTATCAAACTCGGCTCTCACCCACGACGCGCACCGTTATTATACCGATATCCGGGACCTCTGTCCCGACGTCGTAGGTCGGTCCCACCATCGAGGCACTGTGGTGAGCCGAAAAGGGAGATGCCGCCGGCTTCGCGGCACGAGTGGGTATTTCGGATCATGGGATTGTGACAGTCACTCTCGTTTGCTCACTCCCCTTCAACATTGGACAGATATGCCTGCACAGACCCACTGGTGGATTACTGCGTGGTTCCTCATCACTATTCCTGTCAGCGCTTATTGGTTGTGACGTCCGGGATTACGTCTCTAATCGATGTGGGACCCTGTAGGTCATATTTTGGGACGCTGCGTATCTTTTCCTGAGGTGAGTGATCGCTCTGGCTAGGCCCTCTCAGGGAATTCGTATTAACGAGTTCATTATTTTCATAATAGGCCTCGCTCTATGGAGGTATGCCGAGCCGCCGGCCTCTGGCAGCTTGCAAAATAGTAACCCTATACCCTTGTTAGGGAGGCGATCTTCATTGGATATGGCAGCCCTATTCCATTTATCAAAACGTACGGCGGGCGCAAGTCGTCATTGCCCTCCACCCTTCCGCGTCCCTTAAACTAACCCACAACCACCCCCCTCCGTCTAGATCGACTACGTAAATTTCCGAACATTCCTTTTCTCATTCCAATTCCACTTCCCTTGACATTTTTCTCCCCCCCCCAGATATACGGCGTCCCGGCATTTGTAGAAAAAGATGGCTTCCCGAACGCCCAATGTGCGAAAATTTCATTTCCACCATCATCATCATCTTTTTCATCAATTCGCTGATCCGAAATTATGGGCTGTTTATTTTAGCCCTGCTCAACATTTTTGAAAATTTCTTGAATATTGCATACTTGTACCTCGCGTACGTCGTGCGGTGGCCTCCTGCCACCCTCGTCGCTTTCACGTCTGCCAGCTTGACGTTGGCAAAGACGGCCCTGTACTGGGTGCAGGAGTATTATTGCGGTATGTGTCGCATCGGACACAACAATACCCAGGACCTGATCCTATACTGGATCATTCCCAACGGGTACGTACACTTTTTTTTTCTCCTTCGGTTGATTAAACCATCTATCTGTCTAAGAATCTGGCTTGTCGTCCCCACTTTCATTATCTTTCGGTTGGGGAGAGACTTGATCTCGTCACTCAACCTTGCCCATGGGATGCGGTCCAAGACGAAGAGCAGTTAGATAGCTTGGCCCGGAACCGTTTACCGAAACGCCTGCCCTTGTGTGACCGAGGAATTGATATCTATCTATCTTGCTTGCATGTACCTAGTTTTAATTTACTTGTGGATGGAATTTTGCTGGCCACTTACGGTGACGGGGGGGAAGAAGTCAGAACAAGCAGCTTGGGGTCCGTATTTCGTTACCGAGGGGGGTACACATTTCTGGTCCCCTACGGTTCACACTTTGATTGCGAAGTTGTTTTTGTTATCATCATGCGGTTTGCTCGTTCAGTTCTCGGGACAGGTGACTGATCCCCCATCGTGGGTCTGCATTACGGCCTCGACCACCCCACCCCACCCCCCAATTCTTTAATTATAGGACTGTTCCGTCTCTCTAGCGATATTGCCCGCAGTTTATGATCACTTCCTAGCGTCATTGACGCCTCTTTTCTTTTGTTCTGTGAGAAATTTCTCTACGCTTATTTTAAACTGGCATTGAGTTTATGAGGCATCTTGTCTACTTTATTTGGCGGGAGGGGAGGGGAAATTGTTTAACAAGTTCGCTAAATGACTAGGCACGCACATTAACGTTAGCACATACACATACGAATCGACTCGCAGTTGTATACGCAGTCGTGCATTAAGAAGCGTAGCCAAGTAGAGGAGCCCGCGGAAAAAAAAAAGATATACTTGGTTATTGCAAACTAATATGACAATATAAGTGCCGTGGAGACGACCCAGTCAGTTCGCGTCGCCCGAAGATGGTTATTGACAGCGGCAGCCTTGAAAATACCCGAGGTGGTTTTTTCCATCATATCATTCAGCCCCCCAGGATAATTATATCCAAGGAAGGACGAGGAGAGGGGGAGAGGGTGGTACGCCAAGATGGCTTGGGCATCGTCCGTGGGATGGGAGACGTCGATCACGGATCGTCATAGAGAACGAAGTGGCGCGACAGATGAAGAGCGGGCAAGGGAGGGGCTGGCTAGTCATATAAATATCGTGGGCGGGCGCCGCGGCTGGTAACGACCAGGCCACCGTACTCGGAACTCCCGACATTAAAGGGTATTACAGACCGTTTAGGAGTTTAACTAGGGCAGAAAGGAGGAGAAGTTCTCCAAGGAGTACTATGTCAGAGAAACGCGTTGCAAGGAGAAAACGGACAGGGCGTTCCGGTCCACCGGAGCAGAAAAAAAGAAGCACAAGCACAAGTATATTCCTGATAAGTTCCCAAACAGAAGTCTGAGCAAGCGCACAAGGTTGGTTACACAGACAGACAACCGATCGATTCACAGTGAAACGATCGGGAGGTTAACAGGTAAGGAGAGAGGGGAGCACTCCCTTCGAGAACGATCACCCACGTTCTTTCGTTAACATTGTTTATCTTGCATAGCCACATTTGTGCGGCCGAGCGATGAATGGTTAGACAGGAACTACTGATGTTCGCGAACGAGGACGTATTCGGGTGGCTTCAAGGAAGGAAGGAACGTCAAAGGACAGGAATAGGGAGGGAAGGCCATTTGGGTTAGGCAAACCGGCTCACTAGATCCGGGTGTAGTGGAGGGTTGGGTTCGCGTTCAGGTGTCAGGTACACAGGTACGCAGCGAACGCGGTGCGGTCCACGCTCAAGTCCATCCCATCCCTCCTAGCTTGGGTACTTGAAGAGCCTTGTATGCTTCCTCCCCGTCATCGCATGTCCTTACTTCGACAGACGGGGGAAAGCGGAAGTATGTTACAAAAGATTGATTATCGTGTGATCTGCAGCGGGGCGATCCCTGAGCTAGATAGATAGGTGAGGGAACACCTGAAAAGGCATTCTCAAGAAGATTAGGGATAGAAGCTTGATGCATGAAACTACGGTCCGGCGTGGATGTCTGTGGAACCACATGAACTAGGTATCATGGGCACGAGGGCAATTGAGATAGAAGAAAAAACCGTGCGATGGGATGATACCAGGGATCTGTTCCGTTAACAGAGGCGGTTTCGGATGGACACGCAAAGCACGTGTTGGGCTGGGGTTGAGAACGCAAAGCACTTGATGAGGCTTATCCATTCAATCCGGCATATGGGATTATCATCGTGGGATCGTGCACCATTGAGTTCTGGGCTCAGAGCATATGTGCCCCAACATCTGTGCCCCAACATCCACGTGAACAGAGAACCAGAACCATGGTCCTATCACTTAAGAAGAGCAAAGAACTCACGTTAGGAATCAATAATGATACATCATTTTCTCTCTGGGTGGCATCTGAGCTTCCCCAAGAGTACGTTGGCTTGAACAGCCTCGTTGCGTCCACTACCTGCCGACAAACGATGCATGTAGAATATCCGAGGAAAACATCACCGGCCCAACTCCATTCGAGACGACTGTCGTTATCAATCATAGCACGAAACCTTGACGTACTATCAAGATTTACGAAACCAGCAGATTCTGCTGAAGAAAAGGAAATCTGTGCGGAATAGTTCCTTGAAGAGAATGGACGGAGCTACCCCGGAACCGAGCTCCTGCCAATTCTGACCGTTTACCTGGAATTTCGGATGGATAAGATGGTAACATGCTCTATGACTGAGCATGATATATGACTCTTTGAGAACCGTCATGTAAAGTGTGGCGTTCACTGAGCCTATATCTGAACGTTAAATAAAAGCTTCCGACCCTCAGCATCGCCACCTAATTTACCACCGAAGGCCGTCTCAAGAACGCTTACGATCTAGTCGCATGTACGTATCCCTTCAACTTAGTCGTAATGTTATAATGTCACAGAACGCCTGATTTCGAGGCTTTCGATCACCTCTTCCCAAGGTAAATGCTTTATTGTGATATTAAATAAGTGAAGCTTCTTCCTGACCCTTCACTACGACCGCAATAAATTGTCTTCCGAGTCGGCAACCCACAGTTGAATAGACCAGACCGTACGCCAGAGCCCAGTGCTATTGGTCCCCTATCTGGATTCCCACCAACGGTATAACATAGCCGCGTAGTCCTCAGCAACAAGGTTCATCATCAGTTCCAGCGGCAGGCTGCAGTGAGCGACAATTACATTGAGCTCTTCCTTAATGCTGCCGCAATCTGATGTGGTTCATCATCGCAGGTCATCATCGTGCGCGATTATTACGATCATAATGACCACTGTTCAAAACGATCGTCTCTTGACTCGTAGCCAGTTAGCTTGATCTATCATCTCGGTACGTGACAATGGCATGTTCCGGTCCTAAGGGGCTGTACATCCACGCTCAACCCAAATCCACCAATATGGTTAGGAGCAGAACTGAGCGCTACATCGCGAGTGATCTATCCTCCGAAATCACTCGTTTCCATGTTGGGACTTTGCAAGCCGCCGGTCATCCAAGGGCATCGAACGACAGACGTCATGCCATCCAATAACACAAGCTATGCAAAAAGGCCGTGATTCCGCTGTGAGCAAATGTGATTTTGGTCCACATTGCCATCATCAGCTCGCTTCCGAATGCATGCAGTATGTGCTGTGGCGATTAAACGTGCATATGGTACAAGCCCGGATCACGGTGGTCGTTATTAAATCATGTATCTGCCGACACTCGAAGCTGTGACGATTTATGTTCGCCGGTGCAAAGCGAACAAGATAGCCGACAGGTTGAGAGAAAGAAGTAGTGGGATGGTCTTTTGAGACTGGTCTAGCCAGCCTACGAACGGGTAATGACATTCGACACAGTGAGATGGTGTCGTCCAGGGCTTCTAATGCGCATGATATATAGCCAACTATAATTGACCATCGTGCAGCTAGGTTCAGAGCCGATAGGCGCTTGGCACCTCGTACTCGGAATGAAATCTGGTCACGGATGGTCCCGGTTCTGAAACGCAAGCACGTTAATGGACGAGTTAACATTGGCTACTGAAATGACAAGTACAGGTTCTGTATTTTAGCCCCAAGTGTTGTCCAACCTTAACTGGCCTGCAGCACGAATCGATATTTATTCGCTTCGTACATGCACAGAGATGAGAAATGCGGAGAAAATGAGTCAGGTCGCCGCCACTAGGAAAATTAAAAAACGACATCAGCGAAACTTAGCTTCGTCGAACGATGTACACATTGCTGAACAAAGACATCACATGCGTTAAGAATATGCACAACTTCATCTGCTGTCAATTGGGAATGATCCTGAAAAGAAATGATGATGCTAGTTCGCACCAACGTGCGCAGCTATTCATGTCAGTATCATATGGATGCCAGTCAAATTGGGGGCCAGATGTATCATTTGCTTCAATATCGACTATGCACGCCAACAGATATTTCGATGGCTCGCCGATCCGCACAAAAGATGTGCCGACGAGCAAAAATGACTGTGTCGGTACCATCGGCGTACCGATGTCTCCAGGGAAGAGTAGATGTGTGAATCATGATGTCTCAACATTGTAGGGACTATTCCTGTTCAATGCTGGTCCGCTGCATCGAGATGGACGGGAATATATTTCAATGATTATTGCCGGGAAGTCTCTCGGGTGAGGAAAGTAGGTTGAAGGTAGTACAAAGGTCAGCCCTGGAGCTGCGTCAAACTTCATTATTGGAAAGGGCTTATCGTGGATGGAACACCACGTCATCCTCTTGCGAGGGCTCGTAGGCACCACTGCGCCGGCGATTTCACAATGGATCTTAAGCGTCAATGGACCATCGTGCCTGCTTCGTAGGTCAAGAAAGATGGCACAGATGAGGTCCTAACAAAAAAAAAACAAATCGGCATTGCCTGGTTTGAGTTCAGAAAACAGAAACTGAATGAACAGCGGGTAAACTTACAATGCTGGTGAGTTACTCCACGCCTTGGGATACCTGAAGGTTGCGGAAGTTGGTCACCACTGCTGTAGACTGGGCTTCGGAAGCCCCCCTAGGAACAAATTATGAGGGATTGCACTATAGCCACACGACAAGACGCGCGCCACGCTTGTTTTATGACTGAAGACTGTGAAGGACGGTGGCGTTCCATTATCCTCGGGGTGGTAGACAACGAGGTAGGTACCATGCCAGTGTTGAGCCGTCTGTGAGACCCAAGTGGGTTCAGCGACCAAGATGCAGGATGCGGCCATTTCGATGGAGATAGGGGGACGGAATGGCAGATATAGGCGGGAAGACGACTGATGCGTGGGAGATGCGGGACTTTTTCCTCGTATTTTGATCGGGGACTAAGTAGCCGACGACCTACTGCGCCCGTTACTATCATTACCGAACTGACTCCCCAGTCCTTCAAAAGGACTAGGAAGATAAAGATTTCAGGAAACGCAACGTCGAGCGTCACCCCTGGGTGAATAAGCAAAGTGCAGAGAACTCCGTTTTCTGAACAGAATATGTCGTTAGTCGAAAAATCCAACGTCCATCGGCGGTATTCCTACATTGTTTGCAGGGGAATAGACCGCCGCAATGAGACTCGATTCACAATCCACTTCTCGAAAATAGATTCAAGTAACCAATCAGGGTCGGTTTCGGGTTGATGATGCTGATAGGCCTAGATAACGCTAGCTTATCGTAGGTATGCCTTGTTAATCCTTCTCCGAGCATAAACAGTATCTTCATGGTGGAACCAACGTTGTGCAATTAACACGGTATTGAAGCCAGCCGTACACCAAAAGGGCTTGGTTTGTCTTATTGGTAAAACAGCAAACAGAGTGCGCTTCTGAGGCTCGTATTCCTCGTATCCTCGTCGGCACCGAAGGAGGGCAAGATTCTGATAGAACATTGTGAAGTAGGCAGAAATCAAACATGTGAAGGAGAGAGGAGGTATAGTAAGTGGTCGTAAATCCTCTGATGCGAAGCTCCCATGCCCTTTTTCTTGCATATCGTGCTTGATCAGACGTCGACACCGTCCGCTCGCAAGATGCCCTCATCTTTGGAGCGGGGATCGAGGGCTGTCGATTTGACAACTGAGGTTCGAGGGAAGGCTAACCAAGGGGATATTCTATCCAGAGCGTCTGGACCATGGAAGCATAGTCGAAAACAGTACATCAGGAACGCTAAAGACGCTGAATGAAATTTGGCTAACCAGAAAGTCGGGGGATATCAGAATACCGAAGACGTTGCCCGGGACCAGCCAACGACAACCGTCATGAACGAAGTATATCCACTCTAATAGTTCCGCATGTTCCCCGCTTCAACAACGTCGTAGGCACCGTGCCTTGAAGTTGAAATACGAACGGCTTGAGTAATTTTGAACGTCCGTCTCATACAAACTTGAACCCTGAATAGGATTGTTCGAGGTCCAGCAAGCAACGTAGTTGCACACCTGGATGGCAGGGACAAGGGATGATATAGGAATGTCTTGTTGGATGAGGTGGCTGTTGGAAATCCTCGGTGTTGCGCAGGGTAGACTCCAGGCTGGTAAGGCCAGAAGGTATGAACTCCTTGTTCTGCAGCTCCTACAGAGCTTGTATTTATACTCTCCAGGCTTGTATCTAGAATTTACTACAACTTTCTCTTTCTCTCGGGCTTACTCATCAGCTCTCGGCATGATGCCGGATTGCCCTTTCTAGAACTTTCCAGCAAAATCCCAACAGTGGCAGACTGGACGGACATACGGGGCGTGTTGTAGGCGACCAGAGAACCTGCATCAATGTCTTATGTAAGCGATGAGCTGGTCTTGAGCTGGTCTGTGAGCCCGCCGCCGTATTTCAAACTGAGAAGAATATGGGCTGCGTAAGAGAAGAAGTTGTTATCGTCCTTGCAAGTAACAGTCCGTGCGTCATTTCGGGAAACGAAGTTATCGGATGGTGTATTCTCCTAATCGGCGGTGATAAGTAGTATGCTCACTAAAGCAATAAACATACATACAACTAGTTTATCGGGTTGAGCAGCTGAAGCTAGAACATCATTCAAAGTTGCGTGTTCTGATGCAGAATTGGTTGATAATCGCCGTCCATTCTGAGAGCCCTGGCCTTCGAGAGAACCGATTACCTTCATCGAGAAGATTTGAGCTCGGTCTGATGGCTCTTGCGGTAGAGCTCATATTGCTAGTGTAGGTTCTTCGGCTGGCATCAGTCAACGTCCAAAGGATTTTGGGGGACGAAGACATCGCGAAGCCGCCTGCTGTTCCCTGACGACGTAGATAAGACCAATCATGATTGTGACAAAATAAGGTGTAGCTCACAAAAAGAGATATCCAGGCCCGGGACTGACTCTATGTTGGAGCGCAGATAGTTTCTTGACCTCCACAAAGTTGCCTATGCCACCTCGTATCCGCCGCTGGGACCAGAAAGACGAGACCTGGCAGACATTGCAGAGTAATATCACCTAAATACAAAAAAGTGTTTGGTTCCAGCTTGCAGAATAGCTATTAAATTTGACATACCTCCATCAGGTCAAACGAGCGAGACACCCTGCTCATGTGAATCCCTTTCAGGACAGGCGACCTGCATTTGACGCATATAGTATGATAGGCAAAGAAGCAAGCGAAGGCCATTTTTATACAAGGAATATTTTTCGGGATTTTAGAGAGAAATTAAGGGAGAAATGATCTTTGCTTTAATCACCTTGGTGAAGAATTCAAAATAATGGTGAAATCGGGTAGCTCTCTCGCCACGAGGCAGAACACAGTCTCGGATTAAGTCCTTGAGAGATATTGTAGTCGTCAAAAGCGGTTTCTAGCTGGATACCGACCGAATCCTTGTGCATCGCCGAACGAAGACCAGCACCAATAATATGGTGGACTCATCGCACAGGCTCGAAGAGGTCCTTCAGCAAGTGGAAAACGAGAGATGGTGTTCATCAAAACGTCATTGGTTGCGGAAACTAATCGGCGCGTTTTAGTCGCTCTTCGTTCGGCTCGCTCTGGACAAGCAGATGTGCCCACTTCAATCTATCCGCAGGTTTTGCTTTAGATGCGGTGACAGAAGGACAAGACACGAGAAAATAGGTTTTTGGATGGGAAAGAGGAGAGAATGGTTACGGCGCATCACATGTGGCACGGCAGTAGCAGGTTGGTGCGAAATAGATAAAGGCGGGAATGGGCAGTCGTGGATGGTTTAGATTCGGTCGGAATAGAGGTCACGGTAGTGGTCCAGACAAATGCCATCCGCGACAAATTTATCGCCAGCCTCCTTCTCCAATTGCCATCATAAATCTAAAGTTACCCATGAGTAATATCTATCTGGTTGCGGGACGATAAGCTACAACGGCAGTGGTAGACTTTAGGGCCTCGATTGCCTGCAGATCATGAGCTCTCCTGCGATAGATGTTAGCCATGGACTATGACATCGAAATAACAATCCCATACCACCAAGAACGAAGGAGCAATGGAAAATGACGGCAAACCACGTCCGCCACTGTCTGCAAGGCCGCGTTCTCGCTGACGATTAGATACCTCGAGCTCGTGGACTTCATCAGATGTGCTACAATGGCAGCACAATTATAGGGCGAAACGAAGAATGGGGTGAACCCGAGACGTCTCAGGCCAGCAAGTACCGCATATTACGTGTGCATCCACAGATTTACTGACATTGGATAAGATACCAATGGTGGCTGGAGCGTCACTATGAACGTCCTTGTTTCGACTATCTCTTCCCAGGACATAGCAAAAAATCCACCATTGTCAAGATCATAACAGAATAGAGCATACTTGGCGCTGTGAATGGTGTTGTAGTCGAATAATTAGGAGGTAAAAATAAATTGACTTTCGTCCAGTGTTGCCGTGTGATCGAAGTGTGCACCAGAAGATGTTGCCAAACAGGACAAAATAATCACTTATGGCAAGCGAAGACGGTCTTTCACAAACGACGACAATGACCATGTCCGGGACAGAGCTCGGGGACGACTTCACTCACCCAAATCCGAGCTTTGTTAGCGCACATCGCCGCTGTCGTGAGGTGGAGAAGGACCTCATGGTCCAGGTCTCTCGCAATCCCTCCGATATGGTCTTGCGGAAACAGCTCGTCAATGTTCGAATCATGGGTCATCTCCTGAAAGTCGGTCCTACAGACGCAGCAAAGTCTCATATTTCCACAACCAGCAATAGCGAAGTTACCGAAGAAGGTCTCATTGTCCGAGGTGCATTCTATGATAGGTTCTTCATCAGGACATGTTGGTTGCATCTTTGTTACCAGGTCATACGCTGACACTTGTCTCTCTAGTTCGCAGGGTGAACGGTCCTACCCCCCAGGAATCTACTGATCACTCGCGCCCTTCTTTCCGACAGACTCTGGCAGAAGTGCATAAATGGCTTCAATGTTCTCCATCCAACCATCAAGAGGCGAAGAAAAGCGTGCGTTTTGCCTTGGCCTGAGCTTAACAAGGATATGCGGTTAATCAGATATAACCCCTTGAGGCCTTGGCTCGTGACAAATATCACTGTCTCTTGTCCGGCACCATGGACTTGAACTCATACTTAGATCACGAAGAACTCCGGGCACAGTTACCGGAGGGGATGGTACCACTAATCACCCAGTGTGCCCACATCTTCTCTGAGTCCACGAACATTGGTATTGATGATCTAATCATGGTATTTTCATCGTGTTCTGTTGTCTCATCTAACTTACTCTGTCTCAAGAAAGACTACGCTGCGAATGCATGGACTATCATCAAACATTTTGGATTCCCGAACATCCTCAAAGGCCTTGAAGGCGGAAATATCCACAGATTGGAAAACATCTTGACACTTGAATACAATCTTCATTTTCATTTTGACAATCTCACTTTATGGTTGGAGCCCACAGTCCGTTTCTTCCCCCCCCAAATCCCCGGCTAACTAATTCTCAGGATATTGAAAATCGCTACAAAGTCGGCACAACGATGGATTACATTTTTGAGTTGAGGATAGTGCCTCGATTTGTTGATTTCACATCTACGCGAAGTGACTTGCCACTACCGTCGAAAGAGTCCTTGCGCATACATGCCGCATGCTGCCGTGTGGCGCACATGTCCGGCGCCGTAGAGTATCTCAACTGCCTAGGGGATGATGATCCTTTCAAGTCCAAGGTACGGAGCTATGATCCCGTAGGTTCGGATTTTGGGGATGTCCTGGCAGCGCAGTTGTACGAAGTGAGTGAGATTCGTTTGGCGGCATCTGTTGGAGCCTGAAGGTTTTATGGTTCATTTTCTAATTGTACTATTGTTCTTCTATAAAAACTGCGATATATTCTCCGAAGTGAAGGATCATCGCCACGAAAGAGCAAGATGGATTTGGTACGAGGCTCGAAACAAACGAACCACAAAGACGAGAGAATCATAGTATAAAACACGGCAAAAGAGTGAATTTAAAACATCATCCCGATGTCCGATACCGAATAAACTACACAATCTGCAATGAAAAATGACTGGTTAGAAATGTATAGGTGAGTAAAAAAGAGTCCATGTAAGGATCCAGAAAAGAAATGGAAACAACTAGTCACCGCCGAACAGATTAGACTGTCTAGGCTGGGCAGCTCCAGGCAGTGGCGGCGGCAAAGGCATAATAGCTCTAAATGGATCCTCGTCGATGCTCGGTTCGCGAGAATGTCCACTCACCTCACGAGGAGGCGGCCACAAGGGAGGAAAGAGACGGATGCGAGGCTGATCGAGGCACTGATACTGGCGTGTTCGGTTCGTCTCTGTACCTCGTCGTATCGTCAAACTCGTCGTCGAGCAGATCGACGGCCCCAGCGCGCTCGCCCCTCCCACCTGATCTGCTTGATGGTCTCCTTGAACCCGATGCGCCCCTTCTCGGTGCGTTTCTGTATAAATACGACACCGAGGGAAAGGAAGGCGTGGTCGACAGCAGAGGTGGTGACGCCAGCGATGAGAGCGGTGCGGTTTATGTTTCCGGAGCCAGAGTTTCAGTCAGAGGTGGCGAGAGCTGTAGGTATGTTGGTAGTACAAATGGTGAGCTGGCCTGATATGGAGGTCCATGGTCGTAGTGAGAGATATCGTGCTCGAGTCAGAGGTCGTGGTTGTGTCTGTGTGGAAGGTGGTGGGCGCAGTCGAAGA